CTCTTGGGCCGTCGTGGAGCGTGGGTAAGCCGAAATGGCGTGAACGTGTAAATCCTTCAAAAACCATTGACAAATCCATGATTTTTGCTTCTCGGGGCTGTCTTGGGGGTGCTCTTGGAGCCCTCTTGGGCCGTCTTGGAGGCGTCTTGGGCCGTCTGGAGGCCATCTTAGGCGTCTTGGAGCGATCTGGAACCGTCTGGAGGCTCGCTTGGGCCGTCTTGGGGCTCTCTTGGCCCGTTTTAGGGCGCTCTTGAATCGCCCCCGGGCGCCGGAACTGTTCAGGGAGGGCCGCCGGCAGAGTGGGGCCCCCTCGGAGGGACTTTCAGGAGGGCTTTGACCAGCCACTGCCGAAGGAAGGGGAAAGATAGTGCCGAACACTTTGTCAGAGATCCTCCTCCTCCTCCTCCTCCTCCTCCTCCTCTTCCTCCTCCTCCTCCTTCAGCGACCCGCTCCACTCTGGAGCCTTCTGGGCTTCGTGACGGGCACAGTCAGCCCGCACAGGAAGGATAGGCATCCTTCCTTCGTTGGCCGCGCCCAGCTCGAGGAGCGTCGAAATGGGCGTCTGAGGCCCTTGCATCCTCATCGCGCATCCTTGTGTTCCGGGCCGGCTGTACGCCGGAGGCCGTGTGTGTGGGGGGGCCTCCTTGGGACTTCTTGGGGGACGCTTCGGGCCAGGGCGCCCTCTCTGGCAGCACTCCTGGGCTGCGGGCACCCCCGACCAGACCTCGGACGAGTTGTTTTGGTGTTGGCAGCGCACGGCCCCAGAGATGCTTGGCCCCCTTCTGTTTCATTGAGACGAGACCCCTGTGTTTCACCGAGAATTGCATCATTCTTCTCTCATGCACGCTGGGAAATTCGCTTCTTGTGTCCCCGTTCAGCTCTATCGCTGGTGCATCCATTCTGCCTCGCCGCCGACGAAACAAGTTCCACCTAGAAAAGAAACAGTCCCAACCATACGAACACAATGCAGGCGTAGACTGACTCAGGTCCCCGTCCTGGCATTGGGTCATCATCACAGATCTGGGCGGCTTGGTCTGAGACACCCGCAGGAGAGACCCCCGATCCCTAAATAATCGAGGACGCCGGCGGCGCATCACCGGCCGCTCCCTGGGAGTTTTTCGAAGAGGTGCGCAGCATCGAAAGTCGTGACGCGGCGCGTATGCCAGCTATCAAATAGCCGTCGCCCCATCCCGCCACCGTGCTTGGGTTTTGGGTCGGACGGAGTCCTCATGGACGCTTCCTGGGGTCTCTCGAGAGGGCTCTCGGAGGCTTCTGCGGGGCAGTTTAGGGGCCTCTTGGGGGCGTCCCAGGGGCTTCTTGGAGACCTCTTGAGGCCCTCTTGGGGCCTCTTGGGGCTCTCTTGGGGTTTGTTGGGGGCCTCCAGGGGGCCTCTTAGGGTTTCCTGGGGGCCTCTCGAGCCGAAAGCTCGACATGTTCATTCGGGTACCCCTTCTGGGCCTCCTCTTGGGGCCATCCTGGGACCCCTCTTGGGCCGTTCCGGGGGCCTCTTGGGCGGTCTTGGGGCCCTCTTGGGCCGTCTTGGGGCCGTCTTGGGGGCCTGCTGGGCCGTCCTGGGGCGATCTGGGGGGCCTCTTGGGCCGTCGTGGAGCGTGGGTAAGCCGAAATGGCGTGAACGTGTAAATCCTTCAAAAACCATTGACAAATCCATGATTTTTGCTTCTCGGGGCTGTCTTGGGGGTGCTCTTGGAGCCCTCTTGGGCCGTCTTGGAGGCGTCTTGGGCCGTCTGGAGGCCATCTTAGGCGTCTTGGAGCGATCTGGAACCGTCTGGAGGCTCGCTTGGGCCGTCTTGGGGCTCTCTTGGCCCGTTTTAGGGCGCTCTTGAATCGCCCCCGGGCGCCGGAACTGTTCAGGGAGGGCCGCCGGCAGAGTGGGGCCCCCTCGGAGGGACTTTCAGGAGGGCTTTGACCAGCCACTGCCGAAGGAAGGGGAAAGATAGTGCCGAACACTTTGTCAGAGATCCTCCTCCTCCTCCTCCTCCTCCTCTTCCTCCTCCTCCTCCTTCAGCGACCCGCTCCACTCTGGAGCCTTCTGGGCTTCGTGACGGGCACAGTCAGCCCGCACAGGAAGGATAGGCATCCTTCCTTCGTTGGCCGCGCCCAGCTCGAGGAGCGTCGAAATGGGCGTCTGAGGCCCTTGCATCCTCATCGCGCATCCTTGTGTTCCGGGCTGGCTGTACGCCGGAGGCCGTGTGTGTGGGGGGGCCTCCTTGGGACTTCTTGGGGGACGCTTCGGGCCAGGGCGCCCTCTCTGGCAGCACTCCTGGGCTGCGGGCACCCCCGACCAGACCTCGGACGAGTTGTTTTGGTGTTGGCAGCGCACGGCCCCAGAGATGCTTGGCCCCCTTCTGTTTCATTGAGACGAGACCCCTGTGTTTCACCGAGAATTGCATCATTCTTCTCTCATGCACGCTGGGAAATTCGCTTCTTGTGTCCCCGTTCAGCTCTATCGCTGGTGCATCCATTCTGCCTCGCCGCCGACGAAACAAGTTCCACCTAGAAAAGAAACAGTCCCAACCATACGAACACAATGCAGGCGTAGACTGACTCAGGTCCCCGTCCTGGCATTGGGTCATCATCACAGATCTGGGCGGCTTGGTCTGAGACACCCGCAGGAGAGACCCCCGATCCCTAAATAATCCGTAAGGGCTTCGCCCCCTGCCGCCGGCCCCCTCTCTCGGAGAATGGGCCATGGAAGAGCTAAGTCATGAGGCCTTGGCGCTGTCGTGAAGCAGTATCGAAACTTCATGCGAAGCCGATTCGCAATCAGCAAAACCAACTGATCACAAGAGGGGTTACCACACCTGGCGATTGGTAAGACGTGTATGGTTTACGGCTTGGTTACCACACCTTGCAATTAAAGGGCCGAGGGAGTTCTCGCAGTTTGGGTTACCACGCCTTGCGATGGATCTGCGTGAGGGGTGGCACCGAATTTCAGAAATGTGGCAAATCCCCTGTGTTTTTGGACCCTGACCCCGCGGATCTGCGTGAGGGGTGGCACCGAATTTCAGAAATGTGGCAAATCCCCTTTGTTTTTGGACCCTGACCCCGCGGATCTGCATGAGGGGAGGCACCGAATTTCAGAAATGTGGCAAATCCCATGTGTTTTTGGACCCTGACCCCGCGGATCTGCGTGAGGGGTGTCGATTTCGAGCCCCCCCAGCAATTCAGACAACGCGCCGAGGTGGTGCTAAAGATTTGGTTTGGGCCTCCCTCCCCTCGCGCGGTCAATCAACTAGTTACAGTAACCAGCAAGAAGCAGAACTGCAACACTGGAAACTACAAACTACGACTGGCACAGGAAACTGCGAATCACGGGCCTACAGCCTGGTGGCCCCACAAGGGGGCCGGCGGATATTCTGGGCCCTCCTAACTTACGTCCCCTCCCACAGGATTACAGTCAACCCGCATATAGTGAGGATGGGCAACCTTCCCAAGGACACCCTGACATCCTTGCCCCCGCGGTCCATCCTGGGCCACTGTCGTTGGCCGCGCCCCGCCCGACAAGCTTCGAGATGGGCGTCCGAGGCCCCTGCACCCTCGTCGCGCACCCTCACTGTACGGGCTGACTGTCCTGTCTCCCTGATGAAAGCTGTGCGTCGCCCGCCCAGCTTTTAGCGGAAGAGGTTCGCTCCCGCCCCGCACATCAAAAAAAAAAACGGCACGGGCTGACCGTGCAAGGGGTACCTCCGTTGCTCCCCACTCTCCCCCCCCCCCAGGGCCAGCCCTCCGCCCCGGGCCTGCTCCTGCTGGCCCCGATCGGGGGCCCCGGCCGCGGGCCCCCGCGCCCGAGCCCGAGGAGAGGAGGCACGCCCGGACGGAGGCAGGGCGCGGGCACGGCCAGCCCGCGCGATTGGGACGACGGGCCTCCGAAGGGTGTCGGTCAAGACGCTGAAGTAAGGAGCAGTCTGGGTTCGGACGGGGGCTCGATGTTCCTCTGGGGTCCTCCAGTGCTGTTCCTCGTGCCCTCCCTGGGGCACGGGGGCGCTCACGGGGCCAAGAAGGGGCTTCGTTCCTGATTTAGCGTTCCTGCTTTCAGCGGCCCGTTTGTGCCCTTCGGCGGCGAGCGAGGGGGGGAAGTGGGAAGGGGAAGGCGTTCTCAGGAGGCGGCGGAACTTCTCAGGAGCCCTCCGCGCCCGCGCCCTCTGAGAAGTTGATTGTGTCTTCGTGGAGAGCTTGGAACACCTTTCAGAAGTCTGGGGGGCTTCCGAACCTTCTGAGAAGGCCCGCCCCTTCTCACGTCCCCACCAGGCTCTCCGCCCAACCCTTGCCTCCTTGCCTCTTCGGCCATCTTCGGTCCATCCTCAACCACTTTCGATGGCCAGTCCCGCTCGAAGAATCTCGGCATGGGGGTCCCAGGCCCCCGCACCCTGACCGCGCATCCTTCCGGCACGGCTTGGCTGTATCGTCCCCGCTCTGGGCCGAGAGCCGGGCCAAGAGACCCGCCCTGGCCTCTGGAACGGTGGTGTCCGCGCCGCTCCCGCCGGCTCGCCCCCAGGAGCGGCGGAGCGCCGAGCAGGACTCGGCGCTGGCGGAGCTGGCGTCCGCGGTCCGCAGGCTGCGCGAGAGGTCCGCGGAGGCGGAGGATCCCGGGGTCGCATCGACGGGGCGCGGACGATGAGGATCATGCTGCCGCCTTTGCAATCGAGGTGCCCCTTTCAATCGAGGTGCCCCTTTCAATCGAGGTGCCCCTTTTCCGGGGCTCCCACCCGATTTTTGCACGAGGGAACTGCTCGGCGCCCAGACTGCGGCCCCGGTCCCGCAACTACTGCAGCAGCAGCGGCTTCTGCCCGACGCTTCCTCGCAGCGTGTGCAGAATGGCGCTCTCGCGCGGGTCTCCATCACAATTTATCCAGAGATCGCGCTCTCGCGTGGGACCTCCGTACAGTTAGAGGAGACGCCGCGCCCTCGACACTCAGGAATCACGCTCTCGCATTCGGTTTTCCTCGCCACTTGCTTGGGAATCGCGTTACCCATGCATGTCTGATGTTTTAGCGCCCCGCCCGCTCGACCTGGCCGTCTGGGCCCGCCCTGCCCGCCCTGCCCGTCAGGGTCAACACGCCCGACCCGCCCGTCTGATTCTGCCGCTTGTATTCCTGGTCCCAGCACCCCTCCTTTAATCTCTCTCGTGTTCCAACCTTCTCCCTCCCCCTTGTCCCGTCCGTCCTCTCTCCCTTCCCCTGTTCCAGAGGCTGCGCTAACTACTCGTGGCACGTCAGGAAAAAATACCCACAAGCGGGTACGATCGAAAACGGAGAGGACGGGTATCGAGTGTTTCGGAATTCCATGCTGAGTGGCACGCGAGCAGACAAGGTCTAGCAGTCTTAAAATGGTGGTTGCCATTGTTGGTTGTGGTCGGGTGTCGATGTGATGCTGATGCTTCTGCTGATGATGGTCATGATACTGGTGCTGGTGATGGTGAGGGTGATGATGCTGCTGATGATGATGCTGGTGATGCTGATCGCGTAGCCCCACCAACTTATCCCAAACCGATGCCCAGGCGAGTTGCCTTGACCAGGGATATGGAGAACCATGCAGTGTAATAAAAGAGTCGGGAAGCCGTCACACCCCAAGAATAGCAGGATTGAGGAGTAATCGGAAGAGGAGGGGCAAGAGGGGGAGAGGGAGGGGGAGGAGGAGGGAGGAGGAGGTAGGTGGAGAAGTTGGATGAATAGGTGGATGAGGAAGAGGACAAGGAGGACGAAAGGAGGAGGAGGAGGAGGAGGAGGAGGATGAGGAGGAGGAGGGGCAAGAGGGGGAGGGGGAGGGGGAGGAGGAGGAGGAGGAGGAGGAGGAGGAGGAGGAGGGTGAGCAGAAAGGCCAGCGGCCTTTTGGATACACCTCGGAGCCACTTCAGCTCTCTCGAGAGAGCTCCTTGGAGTTTTCGAGGGCGTCTAGGGGGCCTCTTGGCGGTTTCAGGGGCCTCTTGGAGCGTCTTGGGTGCCTCGAGGGAGCCTCTTTGGGTCTCGTGGGGGTCTCTTGGGAATCTCTTGGAAGCCTTTGGGGGGCCTCTTGGGGCCTCATGGGCGCTTCTTTGGGCCCTCTTGAGGCACCCTTGGGGCGACTTTTCGGCCACCTTGGAGGTTCTCGGAGGCTCTCGGGTGCATTCTTCGCTCCTCGGCGGCCCCCCACCTCCGCTCGTTTCGAAGAATGCGAACCAACTCGCGACGTCGAAGATCCAGAGCTTTCCAGCCTCGGAGTGCCTTCCCGCAGCCTCGCCTCGCCGAGAGCATGCCAGAGCTGCCCGAGGCTCCCCGAGCGGCCGCCGCGGAGTCCGGCTGGGAGCTGAAGTCCAAGGTGCAGCGACAGGGTCTGGACCTGGCCCACGGGGGGGGGGGGGAAGATCGGGCGGGTGGCAACTGCGGGTGCAGACCCTGCACGAGGGGTGGAGAAAAGGGCCCTCCATGGGCCCCCCCCTGCGGGCTCCCTCTGGAGCCAGCAGGGGCCCAGGCAGGGCCCTGCGGCAGGGCCCCGGCCCGACACGGGGGCCCGAAAGGGCTCATGCGGGAACCCTCAGAACGCTGACAATGGGGACCGGTTGGGGCTCGGGTGGGGCTCGGGTCGTCGGGCCGCTCCTTGGTTATATATGTCGCGGAACCAGCTCGTGCCCCGAGCCCGCCGTGGCCAGGCATCGACCAGACGCAAGAGTGACCTCTCGCCGGAGTGACCCGTGGTGCGGGCGCACAGAGGGGTCCCCGGATGGCTGAACACGGAGCAGCAGCAGCAGCCTGCGCGCCCAGGTTTGGTCCCCCCGCGGCCCCCCAGAAAGTCGCGCACGCACCAGAGGCCACTCTCACCCCGGGCCACTCTCTGCGCATAGCCGGAGGAGAGCCCCTCCGTTCCTCGGCACGCGTGCCTCCTGGCAGCTCGCACGCTGGCTGCCGTCAGCGCCGATCGGGGCCCCGGGGGGCCCACCCCGCCCCGCAGCGTGCGGCTGCGCGATCGGGGGCCCGTCGCCGGCCACGTGGCGAGGCACCGCGGGCCTCGAGGCCCCCGGACGGCCGACAGCGTGACGTCCGCCCCATGCGCGGCGCCCTGAGGCCACCGCTTACGAAGCCACCGCACGGAGGACCCCCCTCGGTTCCCGGGAGCCCTTATCGACCATCTATTGTGGAGGGGCCACGGAGGACCCCCCTGGTTCCCGGGAGCCCTTATCGACCATCTGTATTGTGCAGGGGCCACGGAGGACCCCCATGCGCGGCGCCTGAGGCCACCGCTTACGAAGGCCACCCCAACGCATCCCGAAGGGCACGGGCCCTTCCAAGCTCGGGTTTGAGGGGTGTGCGGGCTCCATCGCGTGTCCCCAGTGCTCCCACCGGAATTGAGCCGTGCCCACCGGAAATCGACGGTCCCAACGGGGGCTTCGGGTTGGGCTGGGGTGGTTTGGCCGGTTGTCAAGAGGAATGCCCCCCCAACAGGAATTGACGATCCCAACGGGGCTTCGCTTTTGGTCGCCACAAATCGCTCCTGGAACCCTAGGCACCGTCCTCCTGCGTCGTTTTTCGAGCTTGATCGATCTGTGAGGGCCTCGGGGCCCGAAACTTGGCAAAAAGGTTCGTTGTGCAAAAGTTGCAGCGCTGGGATCTCAGGGGGCAGTCAGGGGGGCCGGACCCTTTCCACAGAGGCACACCTGTTGAGGTCCGAGGGGTTCTTCCTGAGGGCCCCGGGGCCCGACGGAAGCGCCAGGAGTGGAACCGTCGGAGAGAAACTTTTTTGGGGGGGGAGGGGGGGGGGGGGGGGGGCTGCGCGCCTCCCGCGGCCGTGTGGGACCTTGTGGCCGCCTCGATGCGCCCGTCCTGAAACGCAGCGCGTGCCGTGTTCCGCACGCCCGTGCTGACCCCGCCGCCGCCTGGCCCGCTGGCGCAGCGGCCGCCGCGGGCTCGCCGGAGGGGCTGGCCGCGCCGCTCGCTCGGGGAGCGTTTCGTCCCCCCTGAGCCGCTCGCTCCGTTTGCCCCCCTGTTCGGCCGCGCCCTCCCCCCGCTCCTCCCCCTGCATGGTGGCACGATTGGCTCTACCGGCATCCCCGCTCAGGCATCCCATCGCCCCCGCAGACGTCCCTTGCCTAGCCGCCGACGCACAACAAGTGTTCAAAACGCCCGTGTTGGCACGTTGCGTGTCGACTCTGGACTTGGTTGCCTCGATGCGCCGTGATGAAACGCAACACGCACCGTGTTCAAAGCGTCCGTGTGAACACGCTGCGTGTTGGTTCGGCACGTGCTGCGTCGCGTGGTACCGCGCCAGACGTCGCGCACGTCTTCAGTCGACGTGTTGAGCTCCGTATCAACACGCTAAAGGTTGCGTGTTTCGTATCGGGGCGGCTAAGTACGGGATTGCGTGTTTTGTATCGGGCTGGCTCAGTACGGGACCAGTCTGGCACTCTTGGAACGCTCTCGGCGAGGCGCAGCTGCTCGAAAGCACCCAGCGGCGAGAAAACCTCCAGGAACCAGCGAGGATTCTCGCGGGCGATATTTCTCTCCCAATCCCCGAGTTTCACCCCAAACGTTCGGCCGCTCAGAGAAAAGGGGGCACTTCGGGATACACCCCAAGTGGGCTACTCGGACGCACCCCTATCGAGGATGGACGCCCCCATCTTGTGTCCCAGGCTGGGGCCCGAAACTCATGGCCCATCCGAACACCCCCCAAAGCTTGGGAAAAGTAGGGGTCGACATACCACTTGAAAACTCTCTCCAACGTCCCTCCCGTCCCCGCCCGCCGCGCCGCGCCAGGCATGCGCCCCTATGTCACTAGCAAGCTTTGGGAAACAGGAAGGTGTCTGCCCAGGAGCTGTTCCCTCCGATCCGGCCCCCTCCACCCCGAGAGGGGGCCTTGGTTCGGGGGAGGGGCGGAAGGGGCACCACCCGGCAGGAAGTCTGGACACTTCGCGCAAGACGGGGATCGCTTGCACGCCTGTTGGGCCAAGCGTTGCTGCTTGAAAAGGCGCCAGGGGGGGCGGGGGGGGAGGGGGAAAGCGACCTTCCAAGAGTTCAGAAGAGGAACAGGTGCCGATACCGCTACCTTTCCCTCGTTGTCGCCTTTTGCGGCCTCCAGGGAGGCCCTCGTCGCCACCGCTGAACTCGCTTCAAATATTGTCAGAACGCACCCCAGGAGAGGTCTGGGGAGTAGCGAGATCGGTGCCTTTTGGTTTCCCCAAGAATTCCGACGTCGTGTTTTGTTTTCCGATTGTGGACTCTCAGATGTGTACACCCTTGCCTGGGACCAGCTTTTCATCCTGCGTAGTTTCTTCGTAACAGCGTTTCGTTAGATGTTTTTTACACTCGCCGGCGACTTTCCCGCAATTGATTCAGGAATCGGGCTCTCGCTTCTGTGCTGGCTGCATTTCTGTGTCGCGGGCAAGTCGCGGGTGGGTCGCGGGCCAGGTCATGAGCGGGATATCAAGGACGGAATACCAATCCGCACCGCGGAACCGCACCTGAGCCACGCACCTAGGGACAGTGAGTCGTTCGACTTCCTTTTCCTGGACCCGCCTGTTCACCTTTGCTGCTAGCTGGGTGCTCTGCCGTGACAATTGGACGGTCCCGGGGCCCCTGGAGGTCCCTTCTGGAGGCCGACACTTGCCCAACGCCTCCTGTCGTGATTCGTCTGCGACGATAGGAGCTGGGGACTGCATTGCCCGAGTCGAGAGCAAAGCACGCCTCATCGTCAGCCCCCCTTCGAGGAGAAGGAGGCGGAGTGCCGGGCGACCTGCGAGCCGTGCAGCAGGTGACTCCGAGGCGCGGGCGCGTGGTGGGGCGGGCGACGCCGCGGCGCGGCGGCGCGCAGCGGCGGCGCGCTGCGGGGGGGGGGGGGGGGTCTGGGGCTCAGGCTGGGTTGGACGGGGGCCTCCCCGGGGCTTCCCCCTGGGCTCCCCCCCCCCCCCCCGAGTTCCCCGGTGGGTCCACACGTCGGCCCCAGGCTGGCCAGCTTGGCCTCCAGGCGGCCCACAACGAGGCCCCCAAGACGCCCCCCCCAGCGGTTCCAAGGGGGCCCTCCAGATGGCCTGTGGCGGCGCGCGGCGACTGCCTGACTGCCTGGCGCTCCTCCGCCTCGCTGACTGCTCCGAGGTGCATCAACCTAAGAGGTAAGTATCGACCCATTCCATACGGAAGACGCACATTTCTAGCACACTCCCTGTTTCCATGTGCGCATCGTCCAAGATAGCACCAAAGGCCCCCATGAAAACACTCAAACGGCCCAATCTGTCCCCCAGAGGGTCCCCAGTCGGCCCAAGAGGGCCCCAGGACGGCCCAAGTGGCACCCAGGACCGCCCAATACGGTCCCAAGAGGGCCCTGAGAGGGGCCCCAGAGGGTGACGGGGGGGGGGCATTTCGAGGCCTCCGCCCCAAGTGAATCCCGTGGACCGCCAGCAGGCCCCCAAGAACCCCCCAAGGACCCGAACGGCCCCCAAGAGCCCGAAGAGAGGTCCCAACAGGCGTCAACATTGCCTCCACGTGGCTGCCCGAAGGCTTCCCCAGAGACCCGAACAGGCGTTCCAGAGGTTTACAGGACAGGCAGCAAGCCGCCAGGAGGGGCACACGTGGACTAGGGGCACGGTGGCCATTCCCCTCGGTCCTCACATTCCGAGGCCCGCTCCCGAGAGGATCCAGGAAGCCGCCCGCAGGCCCCCAATAATCCCTTCAAAGGACCCCAAAGGTCCCCAGAAGACCCAGGAGAGGGCCCAAGAGGCCCCCAAGCGGCCCCCAAGGGGCTTCAAACTTGCCTCCGAGAAGCTGCACAGAGGCTTCGAGAAAGGCCCCAGCCAGCGTCCAAAGAGGCCTCTGAAGACATCCCAGGCACGGCGGCAGGACGGGCCGCAGGGCACTGGGAGGTGCACGCGTTGCTGAGGTGCACCCTGGCCCCTCCTCTCTGGCCTCCTCTTTGCGATTCGTCCTCGGAAGCCCCGCTTCTCCCCCTCCTGCTCCTGTCCCTCCTTGCCGTGCAGCCTTCGTCGTCGTCGCCGTCGTGCTCCTGGACTCCTCTCCCGCTTCTCGACCTCCAAACCGCCCCTTCGTCCTTTTTGTCGTCTTCCTGGAGACATCCGTGGTCAGGGAAGGGCTGTTTACTACGTGTTCCCATGGCGTTTCGGAGCCAACTCCTGTCCGCAACCGTCGCCTAACCCTCGACGTCCCATTATGAGCTGGGACCCCACAGAACCTGAGCGCGCGCGAAGCGCGCACGGTGGTTCTAGTATACAGAGAATGTTGTGAAACCGCGCGAAGTTCACATTGGTTAGCAGGCGGAATGGCTACAGATGAGCACCCTGTTTTTGGCCTTTTCCCCCCTCAGTACCCCCCCTCTTCCCCCGGTGCGCCGCCGCGGCTTGATCTGACGCGCTTGCTTTCCATGATCGCCCGACTGGGCGCCATGCTACAGTGTTTTTTGTCCGTTTGCGCCCCGCGGCTTCGGCTGTGGCGCGTGACGCGATCGTGCTCCTCCTCCTCGATGCCCTATCGCGCAATGCCGCTGGCGTCGTCGCAGCCCCAGAGCCGGTGGAGAAGCCGGTGGAGGTGGGGGGCCTGCTGCGGCCTGGGCGGAGCACCAGCTGACAGCCCCAGGTCGCACGGCACGGAGGATGAGTTGTCGTTGGCCGCCTTCTCCGCGGGAGTGCCTACACAGCCGCTTGCTCAGCGCACTCTGGCTCCCACGGCCCCTGCTCCCTCCTGCTCTTCCTCCTGGCATCGGGGCGCAAGTGTGTCCCAACGCGTCTCTGCGTGAGACCGTCTTTCTCCCCTGGCGATAACAGGCGTGACCAGGGGGGGGAGGAGGGAGAGTGGGAAGGGGCCGGGAACGTCGAGATTCGCGACGGCGCCGTCAGAGAATACAGTGCCGTTTTTAATACATGCTCCGCGTGCGGACCATGTATTCAAAATAAAGGGTTGATTAATACATGCAAGGGTGAGTTTATGCATTAAATTATTCATAAACTAACCATGTGTTTATTCCGATCTATTAAAAATCCTATGTATTAAAACCTGCCCTGCACACAGTAATGGCTGCTTCCCTACCGTCGCGCATCGTGACGTGACCGTGGGCGATGCCCGTCACGGGCGCTATCGCGAGTATGAGAATGGCGGGCTCGATGCCCATCGGCCAGGATGCGGAGGATAGGATCGTGAGGAGATGGTTATACTCCTGCCCCGTCTACTCTGCACCTTCTTCTTCCTCCTCCCCCTCCTCCTCCTCCTTCTCCTCCTCCTCCTCCTCCTCCTCCTCCACTTCACCATCATCCCTTCTTCTGTTTCTCTGCTTCCTCTTTCTCGCTATCCCCCCTCATGTTTCGGCCTCGATCGTGTGTCCCAGTAGAGATCGAGTCGCGGCGATCTGGAACGAACGACCAAGCACTATGGTACATCCGTTTGCAGTGGTACACATTGAGCGGGGGCCCGTCACCCAATCTTCCTACTGACTCCTGTGGGGGGCGGTAACCAGCAGCAAGAACGAGCAGGAAGAAGGGCACGAGCCAGAGCAATCGACGACGAGGAGCTTCGGTGGTCTCCGTCGGAGCCCCGGCCGGTTTGCGACGCCAGTCTTCACGCCTCGATCTCCGTCGGGACCGTTGCATCGGCAGGGGCTCCCCGGCGTGGACCGCGGGTGCGATGCTCCTGCTGCCCGCTCGCCGCGCTCCAGCAGGGGTCTCGCCCGTGTCGGCCCTCGCCTCCGCAGCGGCAGGCAGCGGAGGCCGACGCCCCACGGAAGACGGGCGCCGTCGGGTCGGCCGCGGGCCCGCCGCCACTGCTGGAGTCGCCTCGAAAGCCTGGTCAGAACGGACCCCGGGAGAGGTCTGGGGAGTAGCGGTATGGGTACATTTTGGTTTCCCCAGTCTGGGGCCTAATCCCGCCCAATCCCGCTGAATCGGGTTTCTTAGTGCCTGCTTTTTCTTGCGAAGGCCTCCCAGGAGTTGTCTCCCGCGGGAGGTCCAGGGACGGCAAGATTTGGGGATCCAGGGATCTCGCAGCCGGCCGCGTCGCCGGTGATGGCGTCCTTCCTGCCACGGCCGCTCCTCGCCCTCCGCCTCCCCACCCCTGCCCCGGATGGCGTTGTCTGTTCGCTCCCTCTCTCCATCTCCTCCGTCATCTCCGCATTTGCACGCCAGTCGCAGAGTGTAGGTCTTTCTAGATTCCCAGATCCCAGTCTACTAGGTATTCCCAGATCCCCGCCTTATTTCCAGGATCGATCTGCGTTTGCTGTTGGCTGTTATGCTTTGGGCGGGCTCGAGTCCAATCTACTTTATCCGTCTTCCCACTTCATGTTTCTACCTACGTTGTCCGACGGACGCGTAGACACTATGAACACTACTCTCCTCTCTCCGCTAATTCCCTCTGTGAGATATTCGGCCTTCTCCGCGTATTAGTTTCTCGCACACAGGATTTCAGATGGTGATTTCTTGTGATGGTTGTGTTGAGATCCAACTTGCTTCGGTGTTTCAGAAAGATGCTCCCGCTGCAGCGTGGCTCTCAATTTCGCCTGGGGCCCACAACGCGTGGCTCTCAATTTCGCGTGCTCAGAGCGCGAGGTGTGGGGCCCAAAACGGCCCCAAACCTCGCGCTCTGAGTTATGCTTCAGGGCGCGAGCATGTGAGGGATCGCAGCAGGGGCAGAAGTGGTTGGCGCTTGCGGCGGGAAAAAAAATCATACGGACTCCTCGATCAGCGGCGAGCGAGGGGGGGGGACGTGAAAAGGAGAAGGCCCTCTCAGAAGGCAGGGGGACTTCTCAGAAGCCCTCACGCAGTCTGAGAAGTGTTTTGCGTCCTCAGGGAAGGTGTAGAACACCTCAGATGGCGGGGGGACTTCCAGGCCTTCCGGGAAGGCCTTCTCCTTCTCACTTCCCCCCGCTCGCCGCGTACTGGAAGCACCCAGGCCCAGGCCGCTCCTCCGCGACCCTCCGCCTGCTCCGCCTCCGCCTGCCGCGCTCCCCCCAAACCACGCAGGAGCCGCCAGGGCAGCTTCGGCGTCGTGATGCTCGACCGCGGGTTCCCGCGGATGGGACGACGGGGGCTGCCGCGTCCCACAGCAAGGGGCCAACCCGGCGGAGGGCCCCCCCGCCCTGGATCAGCCACGCGCGATGGAGGGTAAGGGGGAGGGGGGAAGGCTGGTGAGAGGCCCCCCTGCTCCTTGGAAGGCAGGGGCCTAATCCATACTTGGAAGGCCGGCTCTTTCGGAGAAGCAGCCTCATTCTAAGAAGCCGTCCCCCCTTCCCCTACCCTCCTCTGCGCACCGCCAACACGTCCCACTCCCCAGGCACGAGGCGTCTGTGCCGCCGCCGCGACACGCTACGCAAAGGCTCCTGACCACGCTTTCGTTGAAGTCGCAGCGTTCCATTACTGGTCCCCGTGACCATCAAAAACGCAGCCGGGACGAACAACCCCCACCAGGGAAGGGTTCGGGGCCTCTTGGGCCGCGCATGGGGAAATCACATCGTCAGGTGTATGGGCCCAGGGCCCTGAAATCAGGACGCTGCAAGCCAGGACGTTTGAACACTCCAGCCACGGAGACTGAAGAGTGGAACAGGTCTCGGCCCACGGCTGGTTCTCTCGGGCGCGGCGAGGCCCTGGTGTGTCATAGTCCCGTTTACGGGGCCATGGCAAGGTTCCCGTGCCCTGGCTGCCACGCCGACATGTTTGCGGCTGCCGTGGCGAAGGCGGAGGTGATGCACGGCCTCACGAGCGCACCGGACGCCATGTACGTGCGCTGGGTGAGCGACGTCTCAGCGGTGGAGCTCAGCATGCTGTTGGAGGCCCCGTGCGTTGTCGTCAGGGGGTCGGTGGGGGGGGGCATGGGCAAGGGCGAGGGCGAGATGCAGGAGGAGGATGAAGAGGGAGAGGGGAGAAGGAATAAGGCATTGTCGGTAGTGCGAGCTCTCCCCCTCTTGCCTCTCGTTCTCCTTCTCTGCTTGTTTCTCTCCTCCTCCTCCCACCCCTGTACCCGCCGATTATCCTCGTCACGCTTCAAGTTATTTCCTGATGCTACTTGCCTTTGCTTCTCCTCGCTCCTCCTCCTCCTCCTCCTCCTCCTCCTCCTCCTCCTCCTCCTCCTCCCCCTCTTTGTCGGCAGGGTTGTCTGGAACCGCAGCGTCTGTGAAGCGATACAACAATTCAATATTCAGACTTAGGCGACGTGGTTTCAGTGCAGGCTGCAGGCGAGCGCCGGAACGGGAGAGGCACGGAGAGATGTAAGCAGGCGGTGGCCAGCGTGGACGCGACACAGTGCATTATTGCACCGTGAGCGGGAAGTATGTGGTGAACGCTCGATTGTGCAAGTTAGGTGGTGTGCTCTATGAATGTGGAAACTACGTGGTGCAAGCTATGTGGGACAAACTATGCCGTGTAGGCGAGGTGGCGTGGTGGAATCTGGGAAATGTTTGCTACGTAGCACCCCGCAGATGCGGATAAGAGTGAGGGGGCGGTGGGGTCGTCGGCAGTCTGCGAGACTCTGGAGACGCCCGCCGCAGGCGCCAAAGTTTCACGAGCCCGCCGCAGGCGCCGATCTTTTCTGCGAACCAAGTTGGATCGGTCGCGGGTGGGTCGCGTGTGGGTCGCGGGTTGGTCGCGTGTGGGTCGCGGGGTGGGTCGCGGGTGGGTCGCAAGTGGGTCGCGGACGGGTCGCGGACGGGTCGCTGACGGGTCGCGGGGTGTGTCGCAGGTGGTTTGCGAGGTGGGTCGCGGGTGGGTCGCGGGTGGGTCGCGGGGTGAGTCGCGGGTGGGTCGTGGGTTGGGTCGCGGGTGTGTCGCGGGGTGGGTCGCCGGGTGGGTCGTGCGGTGGGTCGCGGGTGGGTCGCGGGGGGGACGACGACAACAACAACAACAACAACAATCAGTTAACCCTCATGCGCGATGTTTCCATTCGAAACATGCGACCATCATGATGGCCATCCACATGTTGGGGGACTCTTGTTCTATAGCGGGGTCCGTTATTCCCAGTCCCTGATATCCCGCCCAACGAGGTCTTGCAAACACCTCCTCCGAGGAATTTCAATATATCCGGCCTCGAAAACACATGCCCGCGCTTTGCTGCGCCGATGCGAGACCGCCAGTGGAACCCAAGCGAAGGGTAAAGCACAGTGAAGTATCGAACGACGTGATTGCCTTGGTGGGGATAGGGGCTGTCGGCGGTTAGGCAAGTATCTGGCCCTGAATAGAAAGGAAGGGAGTCTCCAGCAGGGCTGCTGTTGTTGCTGGTAGCAGCGCCAATGCTGAAAAGAGTAGGGCGCTAGTCCAGCGTAAAGCAAAACGAAGTCTCGAGCGGGAACGGTGGTTTTGTTGGGACGCCGGCTTTCGGCGGCGAGGAGGAACACCGCCTTGAGTAAGAAAGGTGGAAGCATCGAGCGGGAGCCGTGGTTTTGTCAGGACGGGGGCTGTCGGCGGCGAAGAACAGCACCGTTCCGAGGAAAAAGAGAGGACATCTCGAGCGGGAGCGTTGATCTTTCTGGGTGCGGCGCCAATTCGAAAGAGAGTTAGGGCGCCAGTCCAGCGTAAAACGGAAGATCTCGGGCGGGAGCGCTGGTTTTGTCTGCGCGGCGGTTTTCGGCGGCGAGGAGGAACACCGCCTTGAGTAAGAAGGGATGAAGCATCGAGCGCGAGCCGTGGTTCTGTCGGGACGGGGGTTGTCGGCGGCGAGGAACAGCACCGTCTTCAGGAAAAAAGGGAGGGAACTTTGAGCGGGAGCGTTGTTCTTGCTGGGAGCGGCGTTAATTCAAAAGAGAGTAGGGCGCCAGTCCAGCGTAAAACGGAAGGAAGTCTCGGGCGGGAGCGCTGGTTTTGTCTGGGCGGCGGTTTTCGGCGGCGAGAACGAGCACCGCCCTGAGTTAGAAAGGGAGGAAGGCGCCAGCTGGAGCGTTGTTTTTGCTGGGGGCGGCGCCGATGAGAGAAAGACTAGCGCGCCAGTCCAAGGTAAAACGGGAAGAAGTCTCGAGCGGGAGCGCTGGTTTTGTTAGGACGGCGGCTTTCGGCGGCGAGCGAGAACACCTGCCCTGCGTAAAAAAGGAGAAACTCTCGAGCGGGAGCGTTGTTGTTGCAGGGGGGCCGGTGTTGGGAATCCCCCAAACCGCTTGAGCGTGAGCCTCACTTTCAGTGAAAATGTAGCCGGCGCCTCGGCGAGAGCGCCAGGGCGCCTGTAAGGGATCCAACAATACTAATTGTTCAGTAATTAACATCCAGAAACAACAACGACGACGACGACAACACAACAAGCATAATCTTTAGCACGGATTCTCACTTCAGCCACGCACCCAAAGACAATGAATGACCGTTCGGCCCCCTCACTCTGATGTGCTGTGAGCTACGTGGTGGAAGCTGTGTCGTGGGAGCTCAGGGCACGCCGCGCCCACGAGGCGGAAGCGTGGCAAAAAACGTCGGCACATCCCCCCGGGTGCGGTGAATTAGGCGCCCACGAGGTGCCACGGGCTACTTTGTGTTTTGCCTGCATGGAGAAGTAAGGACCCCGACTTTGGGTTTCTTAATATGCTTGGGGGGTACCCCCCCCACGGGGTCAACCTCGCCTCGTCCTCGCGCCGCGACCGGGGTCGGAGCGCCTTCGGCGCGCGGTGGCTGCCCGCGACAGGGGGTTGACGTGGAGCTGTCGGCGGGGGTGGCGCCCCCCCGACGCTGATTAAGAAACTCCGGGTCAGTGTAAGCACTGCCTGGGGAAAGATCGCGGTCAGCAGCCCTGGCTTAGCGTGTCTCGCCGGGGGTTCTGGCACACCGCTCGTCGGCGCGACACGCTCACCACGCCTCGGTCCCCAAGCGTCAGCGTATCGAGCCTTCCCCAGCCCCCTGCTCGCGGAGCGGAGCGACGTGCTATCAGATCGCTAGGCACTGCGTGTCGCAGGAGCCGCCGCCGCGACACGTGTAGCAAATACCCTGACCGCAGCCCACAAGGGCACAGAGTAATCAAACAGGATGTTGGCTGGCATGGGAGAAGGAGGAGGAACTCAAGAGAGCCAGTTTGTTGTGTGTCTTCTCCGCGCAGCGTGGGCTGGCCCGGGCCGCGCGCTCCAGCCTGACTTGACCTAACCGCTCGCGTGGCCGTGACGCCAATGTGTACGCGTGTGCTCTGTGTATGTGTGTACTCCGCCTCGACGCTCCGCGCGAGGCCTCGACCTCCAAAAGTGTAGGTGTGATTGTGTGTCTGGCGTATTCACGCGCGTGTCGCCGCTTGTACTTGACTTTCTACGCCACGTCGCCGCGCGAGGGGCCGCGACGCCAAACAGTGTGAGTGCGTGAGTGTGTGTGTGTGTGTGTGAATGCGTGTGTGTGTGCCTGTGGGTGTGCTTGCGTGTGTGCGCTACTGCTTGTGGGCTAGGCGGGCAGCGAGTGTAGAATTGGGAGGACAAGTGTCAGCGCGTCTCTGTGCACAGCTGGCTTGAAATGTGGACAGGGCCTGGGTAGCCACCAGTGCCAAGTACAACGGTATGTCGGCAATTCGGTGGCGGCGTGCGTAGAGGGTTGTCGCGGCCGATTGCACAGCCTGCTGGGAAAGTTTCATGCAGAGCGGGCTCTACAGCCAAGCACACACAATGATTAATGCAACGCGATTTGGGCGGCAACGAAACAATCAAAAACACATTTGGAGAACAAACAGCTGAAACAGCAGCGCCAACAAGACACATTGTTGCACCCCGCAGTTGCCGATAAGAGTGAGGGGGCGGCGGGGTTGTCGGCAGCTTGCAAGGCTTTGAAAAAATCCCGCCGTAGGCGCCGATTCTTCGTCAAAGCAAGTGGGTGTGTCGCGGGCGGGTCGCGGGTGGGTCGCGGCTGGGTCGCGGCTGGGTCGCGGCTGGGTCGCGGGTGAGTCGCAGGTGGGTCGCGGGTGGGTCCCGCGTGGGTCACGGGTGGGTCGCGGGGTGGGTCGCGGGTGGGTCGCGGGGGGCCGGGTCGCGGGCGGGACGACGATAATAAATGACAGATAACAAAGAACAAGTAACATTTTACCAGCAACAAACAACTCTACCACCACCAACAACAGCATCCCGCACCTCAGAATCTCACTTCAGCCACGCACCCAGGGACAGTGAATGACCGTGCGGCCCTTTCATTCTGACATTCGAGTGCGCCCACACGGGCCTGCCAGCGAGATAGAGTGGGGCAAGTGGTGCAGGCTGTTACGCGGGGGCAGGCATTCGAGTAGTAGGGGCGGCGCGTGAGCGCGGCAAGCGTTTTCAAGCGCCCCCCGAACAGCTCGAGAGCTCGGAGGCATGGGTCTGGTGGTCCGGGGCTGGGCGCGGCCAGGTTGGAGGCGCGGTTGCTGGGGGGGGGTTTGGGGAAGCAAGCAGAGGCGGACAAGGGAGATGACGAGCCTTGCACCGGGTGTTCCGTGGCGGTGGGTCCCTCGTGGGATTTGTCGGCCGACGATTCTTGTTTCTGCTGTGCAGACCGGCGTGCGACGCCCAGCATAGCCTTGCGTTTTCGGGGGCGGCAATGAGGGGGGTGATGACTAGGGGGGGGGGTATCATCGCGGTGGCCATGATGTTTCCCCAGATTTCATGGCGCCTCTTCTCATTTCATTATGTCCCTGCCCCCCCCGCTGGGCCGCGCACATGCCGCCGGTCATGATTATCCCCCCCCCCCCTCTTGGACACCCCCCTCTTGGCCGATCCCAACATTTTGGATTGGGTAACGGCCCAGCCACACCATTCCGAGTGGGCCCAAGCAGCGCTAGACATCGAGGACATGGGGCCCAAGCTGGGCCATTGACCCGACGCGCCCCTGCAGTCACTGGCGCAGGCGGCAGTATACCAAAAAAGCACGTCAAAAGTCGTTGACCATAGTACGCCGAAGGAGGACCCGAACGAGCGTTCGCAATCGCGCGCCAAAAATGGAGCCAAATCCAAACGGCCCTCGCCGAACAAAGCGCCGTAAAAAGCTTTACAACAAGTGCCGCATGACGGCTTTGCCAGTGCGGGCACGCACGTGGCGAAGTTTGCTGGATGTTATTGTTTTGCTTGTTGGTGACCTGTTGCGCATTTTTGTTGCCGCGCTCGGCCGAGCGAATTTTGCGCCGCAGGTGTGCGGAAGTTATGCGCACAACGTGTTGTCGCAAACTGTGCGGCATAGAATTGTTGTGGCCGACTTGTTGCAGCTCGTGACTGTTTGTTTTGGGCGGACGGTGGGGTGATATGAGGTTTGTTGTTTGAGGATCTAAACGGCTCTGGGCGGCTTGTCCCTCCGCCACCTCCGTCCTCCTCACTCGTCATCTGCCCGCCCCAGATCTCAGCTGTTACAATACTTTGCACCGCCGACCCCAAGAGGTCCAGACACCTTCCTAGGGACTTGTTGTTCATCCCGGATTAGGTTTGAAGTCCCTGGGGCTTGGCCAGGGTCACTGGAGGACACAGATTGCCAAAACGCTGCCGTCGTGATCCCTCTCACAGCGAGACCGAGAGGAGGTGGGGGTCCCTCCGTATTATTTGTTCACTCTTCGTCCTCTCCTGACGAGAGCGGTGGGTGGATGGCGCGCCCAGGCCGTCGGCTTCATCCTCGCCAGCAACATCATCGGCCTCGCCGCGCTCTTCCTCCTGGGGCGCGCGTGTTGGTACTGGGGCGCCGGCGCCGGCGCCCGCGGCCCAGAGCAGGGCCCGCCCTGGAACGGGGGCTGTGACAAACCAGGACATCCCCACATCTCCGGCGGTGCATTGCTTCGCCAAGAAATAGCCCTGCAGACCTACAGACCTACATGGATTGCCTAAACCCTCGACAGGAATTCAGATATCGAGGTCCTGATGCTAATTTCTGCTATCCTGGAAGGTCAGGATTCTCCCCCCTCCCCCCTTTCAGTGACGCGCCCAGAATCCCTTTGCCCCCCGTGTTCGACACCCTGTGCCAACCCTGCCCCATCGAGTGGGTCCGCGGCGAAGGGCCACTCCTAGGGGAGGGGTCGAGGCCGGGGGCCTCGCCCTGAGAACAGTTCCTCCTCCTCCTCCTCCGTCCTCCTCCTCCTCCTCCTCCTCCTCCTCCTCCTCCTCCTCCTCCTCCTCCTTCTCTTCTGTCTCCTCCTCCTCCTCCCCATGCAGCCACTCGCGGCGTCTCATCGCGGCGTGCTTGTGGCAACCTGGAGATCCTGCAGCATTCACTGATGTGGGTCTCGCTGTTCTCGATGGGTTGGCTAAGACCGAGAAAGATTCATGCAGGCATTTTTCTCCAGCAGATTTTTCATCGGTGCTGGCCACGTGCGACTTTGTGTTTTACTTCGTTCACGTCGCTTTCGTGCTGACAGGGTGCATACCGGTCTTGTTGTATCTGAGTTGTCAAGCGCTCCTGTGCGTCGATCTGCCCGCCCCAGACTGCAGGGGCAATGGGGGGAGCCGTTGGCATTTACCGACCCGCATGCGGTCTGGGCGTATCTCTGGCGAGCGGGTGTTGCTGTCACGACCGTCGTGGAGGACGTCCGCCCCAGATGCAGGGTCGATGGGGGGTAGCTGGTGGCATTTACCCACCCGCCTGCGGTCTGGGCGTATTTGAGGCGAGCCGGTGTTGCTGTCACGACCGTCGTGGAGGGTATCCGCTCCAGATGCAGGGTCGATGGGGGGTCGCTGGTGGCATTTACCCACCCGCCTGCGGTCTGGGCGTATTTGAGGCGAGCCGGTGTTGCTGTCACGACCGTCGTGGAGGGTATCCGCTCCAGATGCAGGGTCGATGGGGGGGAGCTGGTGGCATTTACCCACCCGCCTGCGGTCTGGGCGTATTTCAAGAGTGGTACTGGAAAGGTGGCTCGTGGTACGCTTTAGGGGGTTGTGGGGCCTTCTTCCCATCCCGCCCAGTCCATTTCCACTTTCTCTCTGGCTTTATACGTGTATGGCTGATGCGGTCGTTTGCGCAGTGGCTTGGACGAGGTCAAGAAGTCAATTCGTTTTCGTTCGCGGGTACGGTTTTTGGAATTGGTATTGTGGGGCTGTCTGTGGAGGAGGCGATCTCCTTTGGGAGGTTGCCCGATGACCAGTCATGCGTTGTCACATCATTGAACAAGGGCCGCATCGAGCTGACTTCACCGCAGTTGAACTTTGTCAATCTCTATGGTGTTTGCCGTGTACGTCTCCTGCAATTCCTTCATCGACTTGGAGGCGGTCAGAGGGTGGCTTCTATGTGCAGGAAGCGTACCCGAGGCACTCCTGGGCAATTCCCAAGCCCAAGGAGGCCTGCCGCTGCGATCATACTGGACGTTGTCACGCAGTCATGCTCATGGTCCTGTTCCTCCTCGTCCTCCTCCTCCTCCTCCTCCTCCTCCTCCTCCTCCATCTCCTCCTCCTCTTTCCCTCCTCCTCCTCCTCCTCCTCCTCCTCCTCCTCCTCCTCCAGGGTAGGGGTCGGGGCCTCCCCGGGGGCCGCGCGCTGAGAACATCTCACCGCCGGAGGTTCGGGGGGACGTTGGTGGGCCAGGCCCAGGAAGGGCGCTCGCGCGCCCGAGGCGCCGACGGCCGCGGGCCGGACCCTTATCCGACGCTCGTGTTTTCCGCGAGGGTTGTCTTCAGAGGCTCGGTCAGCACCGTCCTGTTCTAAGGGGGGGCCCTGCGCAGAGTGCCTGCCCCTCCTGGACCCGCAGGGCGGGCCGAAGGGGCAGGGTCCGCCGAGGCGGTGGGGCCCCTGAGTCTCGTGGCCACCCCTGTCCGGGCCGTGCTCCTCCGCCCTCCTCCCCCTCTCCCTCCCTCCTGCTGGAGATTCCGACCAAAGCTTCTGGCAATTCTCGGCCTCCAGTGGCCCTCGCTGGGCCCTGGGAAGGCGTTTAGACCCCCAGGGGGCCACGTGCCCAGATTGGGCAAGTAACCGCCAAAGCAATCCGATCATCGGCCCCTCCTGCTCCTCCTCTTCTTCTTCCTCCCCCCTTCATTCCTCCTCTCATCGCTTCCTCCTCTTCATCCTCCTTGCCTCCTGCTGCCTCTCTTCCTCCTGTCTCCTCCTTCTCCTTCCTCCCGTTTCTCTCCCCCTCCTCCCCCTCTTTGTCCCCCTCCCCCCCCCGTCTCCTCCCCTCTTCCTCCCACGCTTCTCCCTCCTCACTCCGACCGCCCCTTCTCCCTCCCTTCCTCCTCCCCTCCTCCCGCCCGCGCGCGCGTCCGCTCCTTGCCTCCGTTGGGAGGCTGGTCGCCCGCCTCTTGGGCTGGCGCCGGAGCCGTCCTCGCTCTGGAGGGCCATCGTGCGTTGGGAGAGATTCCATCCTGCGGCCCTCCTCGTCTTCGTCCTCCTCCTCCTCCTCCTCCTCCTCCTCCTCCTCCTTGGCCTCGTCCTCCTTGGCCTCGTCCTCCTCCTCTCCTCCTCCTCCTCCTCCTCCTCCTCCTCCTCCTGCTACTCCTCCTCCTCGTCGCCGTCGTTCTCCTCCTCTTGCTCCTCCTCCTCCTCCTCCTCGTCCTCGTCGTCGTCCTCCTCCTCCTTCTCCTCCTCCTCCTTGGTCTCTTCGTTGACGCCGTCCTCCTCGTCCTCACCCTCCTCGCCCCTCCAGGGCGCCCTCGGCGTGCTCGTCCTCCTCGCCGCCGCAGCTCCTGTGATCCTCCTGACCGCCCCGCCCCAACCTCCTCCTCCTCCTCCTCCGCCCTCTTCCTCCTCCTCCTCCTCCTCCTCCTCCTCCTCCTCCTCCTCCTTCCCCTCCTCATCATCATCCCGAATCCTCCCCCTCTTCCTCCCCCTCCTCCTTCTCCTCCTCCTCCTCCCCTTCCTCCTCCTCCACCCCCTCCTCCTCCTCCTCGTCTTCTTCCTCCAGGCATTCTCCTCCTCTCCCGCCTCTTCCTCCTCCTCCTCCTCCTCATCCTCCTCGTCCTCGTCCTCCTCCTGCTCCTCCTCCTCCTCCTCCTCCTCATCATCATCATCATTCCCCTTCTCCTCATTCTGCTCCCCATTATCCTCATCCTGCTCCTCCTCCTTTTCCTCCTCCTCCTCCTCCTCTTCCTCCTCCTCGTCAGTATCCTCTTCCTCCTCCTCCTCGTCCTCTTTCTCCTCCTTCTCCTCTCCGCGCGCTGCTGTGGACTGGGACTTCTCTCTCCCCCTTCCTGAACGCGGATCCTCCTCCTCCTTTTCTCATCGGTCCTCAAGAGGCTCCAGAGGCCCTAAGGGGCATCCAAGAGCCCTACCAAGAGCGCCCGAAGAGGCACACATCGTTGATGTTCCATTGTTGTTTGAAGGATTTTCGAGTTTTCGCTGTTTCACTTTCCCGACGCTCCAAGACGGTCCAAGAGGCCCTCAAGACTGCTCCAGCAGAGCCCAAGAGGCTTCCAAGAGGACCCCAAGGCAGCCCGAGAGGGCCCCGAATCGGCTCCAAGAGAGGCCCAGGAAGGGAACGCGAACGCAGAAGTGCCCGGAGGGTCGTAGAAGACGAACTGCGAGGTCCCAGACGCCCCAAGAGGCCTCCCAAGAGGGCCCGAAGAGCCACACATCATTGCTTTTCCTAAGGTTTTTGCAGGATCAGGATGTTCGAGTTCTCGCCTTTCCAGTGTCCCGACGCTCCAAGGCCTCCAAGAGAGCCCAGACCGTTCCAAGACGGCCCCACAAAGGGCACAGATTGGGCAACCCGACCCGACAATCCGAGCTTCCACCTAGAGAGGATTTCCCAAGAGGCCCCTACAGGCCCCCAAGAGGCTGGCCAGAAGCCCTCATAGGCCTTCAAAAAGCTTCGCAAGAGCGCCCGAAGAGGCAAACATCGTTAATTCCCCGTAGGTTTTCGAAAGGGTTTTCAAGCTTTCGCCATTTCCGGTTCCCAGCCGCGCCTGCCTTTGATTCCCGACCGGTGGTGCTGGAGCATGATCCAGCCTCCTTTTCTCCTGCGCCTTCGATCTCTGTTGTTCCTCTTTTCTTTCTTCATTTCTCTTGTTCTTCCCCTTTCCCTCGCCCTTCCCTCGCCCTTGTCCCTTGTTGTTCGCCTTTCGCCTGTTCTCTCTGTCCTTCGATCTCTGTTGTTCCCCTTCTCCTCGTCCTGCCAATCTATGTCCTCCGGCGTCGGAGGGTCTTCGCCGTATAGGGTGTTCGCGAGTTCGAATGGCTGCCCCCCCCAGGGGTCCAGACATTTTCCCTACCCTTTCATCCCCAATTCTTTCTTTCATCTCCCTGCGTCGCGTGGCGCGGACAATGGCCATGTGCGTAGAAGACTATCTCAGGCCCTATTGGGGCAATCTTAGGCCATCTTCGAATCTCAACCTCCTCGCGCCTCCCCCGTCCAGAATCAAGGGAGGAGGGGAGGGGAGGCAAACCTCTCCGAACGGAGAAGGATGGACCTGGACAAGGAAACGCTCCAGAGCGATGCGCGGTACGTCACAGCCCCTTTCTTCAGGGTCGAAGCGGCCGCCAGGAAATCAGGCAATCGCACGTGCGGGCCACCTGAAAGGCACCGCGGGATCGGACACCTGCTTGCAAACACCACTTTCGGATGCCCGGATACGTACGTGTCACGAGGCGGGGGGGCCCGGGACGGGGCCCTCGACGGCGCCCGGCGCTCTCGACGGGGCCTTGTCGGGGCGACGGGGGCCTCTGCAACATCGCCCGAAGACGGGTCCGGTTCGCCAGAAATGGCGTTCCAGCAGACAGCGAGCACGAGCAATGACGGCCCCAGGAGCAGCCCTTGATTGCCCAAGAGGCCTCCACGATGCCCCAAAAAGCTTCCAAGATGCCTCCCAAGGAGGCCCAAGATGCCTCCCAAGGAGCCCCAGGAGCCCCAGGAGGCAAAAATGATTCATGCATTTTCGATTTCACGCCTATTCAGTTTCCCAGCGCTCCACGACGGCCGAAGATGCCCCAGTGACCTCTCCAAGACAGCCCTACAGGCCTCGAAGACGGCCGCAAGACAGCCCAAGAGGGCTCCAAGACGGCGCCAGACAGACAGACAGACAAGAAGCCGCGCCCTGACGGCGCATCGGCAAAGCAGGTAACTTGAAGACGCACCTGTACTTTTACATGCACATGCACGGAAAATTGAATGGGACGCCGAACCAGTACAGTGCCTCGGGGCACACACGCCGGACACTTCGTCCCAGCGCGTCGCGAGGGTGAGCTGCACAAGTCTTTTTCCGAGCGAGGGGGGGGAGGAGAGGAGACGGCGCCAGAGGCGCCCAAAAAGGTCCGAGACGGGCCTAGGACGGCCCCAAAAAGGGGGCCAAGAGGGGCAACGCGAACCGAGAATCCGAGCCTTCCACCCCGAGATGCTCTCAAGAGACCCCGAGAAGCCCCCAACAGGCCCCGAGAGGCCCCAAGACGCTCCCCAGGGGGCCGAAGAAGATCCAAAAGGTCTCCCACGGAGGCCCCAAGAGGCAAACATCATTGTCTTGCCATCGGTTTTCATGGATTTTCGAGATTTCAGTCTTGGGGCACCCCGACGCTCCAAGATGGCCCAAGAGGCCTCCAAGACCGCTCCAAGATAGCCCCAAGACAGTCCAAGAGGGCCCCAAGACGGTGCCTGAGGCGCCCAAGACGGCCTGAGACGGCTCCAAGACGGCCTTAAGAGGGGCCTCAGAGGGGTAAAACGAACCGGAAATCCAAGCTTTCCGCCCCGAGAGGCTTTCAGGAAACCCCAAGAGGCCCCCACTAGGGTTCAAGAGGCCTTCAAGGAGCTCCCCAGAGGGCCGAAGAGGTTCCAAGAGGCCTCCCAAGAAGGGCCGAAGAGGCACAACTCATTGTTTTCCCATCGGTTGTTGACGCATCGTAGAGTTTTCAGCCTTTTGGCACCCTGACGCTCCAGGACGTCACAAGAGGCCCCCAAGGCCGCTTCAATATAGCAGAAGAGGCCTCCAAGGCGCCCCAGGACGGCCCACGAGGGCCCCAAGACGGTGCCTGAGGCACCCAAGATGGCCCGAGAGGGCCACAAGACGGTCCCAAGAGAGGCCCAGGAAGGGGATTGCGAACCCAACAGCAAAGCTTTCCGCTTAAGAGGCCCAGAGAAGGCCCCAAGAGTCCCCAACTGGTCCGACGAGGCGCCCAAACACCTCCCAAGAGGCGGGGCCCACAGGAGACGCACAAGGGGCCTCAGGATAACCCAACAGTCAGTGCCCTCGATGCATCAAAACTGCCTCCAGGAGGCCCCCGGGAGGCTTCTGGATTGCCTCTACGTGGCCCCAGGTGGCTTCAAGTCAGGCTTCCACGTAGAGAAAACAGCTAATGACGGCATCATATTGCAGACCATCACCTTCGACTGCCTAGGGAACCCCTATGATGCTCCCAAGGGACCCCAAGAAACCCCAGGACAACACACCAAGAAGCACCCAAGAGGTGCCTCCACCAGCCAATTGAGGAAGCATGAAGAACCCCCAGGAAGCTCTTCGGATACCCCCACGATTACCCAGAGGTCCCAACGAACCCCCTGGAGGCACGACTATGTCACGCGCCTGTGCTGAATAGTATTGTCCAAGATCTCCCAGCGACCCCCCCCCTGCCTGGGCTAGAACCAAAGCGCGCGAAGCGCGCGCGATAGTTCCAAACACATTTATATAGTCATGCACATATGTATATACGTATATACGTATATGTATATGAGTATACACGCATATACGTATACCTATATGTTGTATGAAACAACAACGTATATGCAA